ACTCTTCCCCAAAGCCTGGGAAGTCCGAAACTCTGTCTCATCCTCTTGGAGATGTGATCTCTCTTGCTACCACTTCTGTGTCACAGTCCTGTCTAGGAATTGAAGAGGTGTAGTGCACAGGGATCTTGGGGTTCAAAGGACATGTTCTACTCATGACTCTTTTCTCTTGCTGGTAGTGAGATCCCCAACAGATAATACTGATAGAATTTTTCCAAGGGCACAGGATGATCACAGGGCCTTATAAAAGATACGTTTTAAGAGAACTAAAAACTGCATTGATAAGAAAAAGCCAGGATGTTTTTGCTAGGGAACTTCTTCCATCATGACAATGTACCTGCTCAATTGTCAAAACTGTCCTACAGAAATTTATTGGGAAACCTTACCCCATTGGCCCCTATCGCCTTGATCTTATTCCTTTAAGATTTCTTGTTGTTCTCAAGACTCAAAGAACTTCGAAAAGGGACACATACCTCATATACTGGTGTATAAGCTGAGTCATTCAGCACATTTTTAATGCAATTTTTGTGGTAAAATTAGGTGCTTTGGCTTATATTCAGGTCGGCTTATACTCTAGTATATATGGTAATTGAATCCCTAAGATGTCAAGGCTGCCATTTTTGAGGTGTCTTAAATTAGAATGCAGATTTTGATGCAATTCAGAGATGGAAACACTGTGGTCAGAATTTCATCTATCTAGAACAAGGCTACACCCCCCAAATAGGTTCACACTTTGACATTTCATTTTAAAAGGGCTTAGACAATTTTGCAGCAATAATTTTTGACTTACCCTTGAATTTCAGTCTCTTTAGAAATCCAGTCTATGTCTTGGGGGTTGGCATGATAATGGTAACTTCAGCAAATTACATTCTGCACACTGTATGTATTACATATTACTAATGGAATATACAAAAAACAGGACTGTTGACAAGTACAGTCAGTTAGAACTTGAATATGTTGTAATTTGGGGACCACCTGACTATTGCAATGATCCATTTTCACATATTTTCCCCTCCTCCTCTTAAGACTGGTGCCATATCTTAGCCATCTCTGTGTCATCGCTAAGTTTAGTGCAGTAGCTAGAGCACAATACGAGGGGGTCCCCCCAAATAACAGAAAAAAGCTCCAGTGGGCAGAGCTTTCGTAGTATGCATTTTTCCTGTAAGGAGAGCAGTTAGCAACCAGTTCTGAGTTGGTGTCCGCAGTGGCATCACCTGGGAAGTTTCTCTCTGGTCACAGTAAATTTTTTAATAAAAGCAGTTTTGCTCGAACCTCGTATTTTGTGACAGCCAATTTCAGAGAACAGTGTGCAGCTGTGAAATTTTGTTTCCTGTACAGGAATAATGCCTCAGAAACGGTTGTGATGTTGAACACAGCGTACAAGGACAACGCTATGGAAGAAACTCAAGTATATGAGTGGTTTTCTTGTTTCAATAAAGGTGAAATGTCAATTGATGGCAAATTTCCTCGGGACATCCATCAACTTCCTGAATGGACCAAAATGTCACATAGTAGTGTGCATTTGGAGTTCATTCCACCAGGTCAGACAGTTAATCGAGTTTTCTATTTAGAAGTTCTGAAAAGATTGTGTAACAGTGTGTGACAGAAAAGGCCTGATTTGTGGCAGAGGGGGAACAGGTTTTGCCAACACACCCATGCACCTGCTCATGCAACCATCTCGGTGCTCCAGGATTTGGGAAAAAGCAGCATGCCTCGCTTGCCCTGCACACCTTACTCACCTGCCCTCACTCCGTGTGACTTCTTTTTGTGTCCACGAATGAAGAGGGACATGAAAGGACAGTAATGCAACAACATAAAAGAGGTGAAGAAAAAACGAGGGAGGTGCTGTCAGCCATCCAAACAGATGAGTTTGGAAAATGTTTCCAAGACTGGAATTGCAGATTTGACAAATGTATTAAGTGTAATGGAGAGTACTTTGAAGGTGATAAGGTTGTTGTGTAAAAAAATGTAAATACCTAGCTTTGAAAAAAAATTCCACTTCTTTTTTTTCATTCCCCCTCATAGACACTTGAAGGAGTAGAAGATGAGCAGACAGAGAGCTAAGTGGTTAGATACTCTAACTGTAAATGTCCTAGAATTCGGAGTCATAGCTCCTGTTTATAAACACAGTTGGTGGCACTGCCCCAGAAACTCTCTTCTTCGAACTTGGGAGACATTTGAAAGACAAGATATTTCCCCTAGTATTTTTCTATCACTTAGTCCAAGGAAGATTAGGCCAGTTCCAAATTTCACTGATAAAAAAAGTAACAATAATAACAGTGAAGATAGTATGGTAATTTCTCAAAAAGTTGGAAACAGAAACACCCCATGACTGAGTAATTTCTCTGCTTGGGATACAACCTAGAGAAATAAGAGCCCTGACCCGAACAGATACATGCACACACATGTTCACTGCACCACTATTCACAAGAACAAAGAACTGGAATGATGTAAATGTGCAGCAGTGGAGAATGGAAGAAGAGATATAAGCAATGGTACACTGTAGGGATTGCAATGGATGAGTTGAAACAAAATGTGTACGGCTGGTTGAATGTAAAACTCATGATCTGCTTTATAAACCTTCATGTAATTCATAATAAAAGCAAAAGCAAAAAAAAAAAAAAAAGATGCTGCTGCCCACTGCTATTGAGTTGATACCAAGTCATGGGGCTTCTACAGGACAGAAGAGAACCCCCCGCCGCCCCCTTAGGGATTCCAAGGACATAGGCTGCCTTCATGGAAACAGACTGCCACTTTTCTCCCACTGCAGCAGTTGGTGGGTTTGAACCACGGACCTTTCAGTTAGCAGTCAAGTGCTTAACCATGGCACCACCAGGGTTCTTTGATAATAATGTGATCGAATGCTTATGTGCTAAGAGTAAACAAAGTCTGCTTGCTGTAAGACTAAAACAATGGGGGAATCCTTTCAGTGTAACCTTTAAACCTAACTAAAGATAAGAGCAAAATAAAGATAGCTCTGAGTATAAAGAGCCATCCTTTGATCTCCTACACCCAAATGTTACAACAATCTAAAACTCCACTGAAGGCAACTTGAGATTATTTATTAATACCAAGGAGTCAGGGCCCAAAGTGAGACAATTAGTTAGATGCATATCTAGACTGGGCAGCAAATGACTTCTTTTTTCCTGGGAATATTCTAGAGTGAGTAAAGATGACTTTCAGAAATGGCTTGCCTGGTGAAATCTATGTGGGTAAAAATTCGCTTGGGATAGTTTCCTAAGTCGAGTTCCAAAGAATTATTTCAGGATATAAAAGGTGGGGCTGGGAGAGGAAGAGATTGGTGACAAAAATGTAGGGACACCAGATGCTGTGGTTTCTTCTCGGAGACTGGCAAATGTGCACGAGCATACAGGGGGTGGGGGGAGGAGGGTATAGGGCAACTGAAGGGAGGAGACCTGTCCTGTGTGGTTTCACACAGAATTCCCCAGCTGGATTTGACTGGTCACCTGTTTCTGAAAATAAAACCATTGTATACATTTCCATGAAATTAGCAGTGGGAAGTAGCAGCTGGGGAGGCCCAGAGAAACAGTCTCTCTGTCGTGGACTTCCACGGAATGGCCATCTGTGAAAGAGATTCCTCCGCAGAGCTATCTGATTTACGGAAAGTAAGATTGACTACGGTCTGGACCAGAAGAGACGCACGCCTACTATTCATATTTACATGATAACATCCAGCCCTATATGGAGGTTGGGGAGAAAGGGCCTGCTTTTGATCCAACATTTGAATGAGCAGTTCTGTTATTATGACGGCATCGCACAATCATGGGAATTTATGCCTTCATTTTCTCCCAAAGAAAAACTTGACCATCTTTCTTTAATACTATCAACCTGGAAGCTTGACAGTAAGGATTAAAAATTGCTCCTTCCTTCCCACTTGGTTATTGGAAAGGCTCTGAAAGGTAATCGCTCTTGTGAAGCTACACTTTACAGTCTGCATAAAAACGCCATGATTTCCCTGCCTCTCCCCAGCCTAATTGAAAGTGCATAAGAGCGCCCAGCTGGGGAAACGTAAATGGTAAACATATGCACTATATCATGCTATCACACAAACGCTGGGTACTAATAGGAACTGCGTGGTTGTCAGGACCCAAAGAAATCTGGAAAACAAGTCCTGTTTCCCCATCTGGAAAGAGAGCTTGCCTCGACTCCCTTTCTTCCCTTTTTACCCCCTCCTTCCAGGCGTCAAGTTGCGGTCAGTCAGTGTGGCCCAAGGTCAGTCAACCCATTGCTTGTGCGTATAATTCCAAGGCTCCCCAAGCCATGTGAATTGACGAAAGCGGTCTTCAAGGAGGCTTTCGAGAGGTGAGGCACGTTCTTTTTGGCAGGAGGTGGGGCTGGAATCACCAGGTGCCCTAGCTCCTCCATTGCACTGACAGGTGGTCCTATTATCTCTTTCCTCAGCTGCTAAATGTAGAGTGTTGGCTTCCTCGCCTCTTATCTTTCTCTACTTCAGCAAACTCCGATTTCTACTGTCTCCCTTTCTACCTCTGATCATCTATGCGCCGTGCAACCCCCACGTCTCTGCCTTTTCCCGGTTCTGCACTTCTACGGGTCTCTGTCCTTCAGCGTCAGTGACATCTACCTGGAAGTCATCGTTTTCTCCTCTCTGCCTCCTCGCTCGCAAACGTCAGGCCATCTCCTTGGAGAAAGCCTTTCACCATATGGGGCTCTCGGGAGAAAGGACAAGATGACTTCAAAGTTCTCATCATTAGTGCTCGGTCACAATGTGCCTTCAACATCTGCTCCCCGTTGCACCATGAATTCAAGACTGCTGTTCACTCATGCCACTTGTAAAGTGGCTATGGCCTTATTTTTGGGTGACCGCTAACGCTCCGGAGAGGTCAAAACGCAGCACGTGTCTAAGGCCCATGACATACCAGTTTTAATCGGCCGAAGGATGCATGTTTACTAGCCTCTGCTGCAGAGATGACTGGGAACGTACTGAATGAAAACTACACGCATCTTTCACCAGGTCGCATTACCTGTCAGCTGGCACCGGCGGAGGGTAGGGCTTGTTGACCTTGGCATAGAGACTCTCCAAGTGGTCTCTCTCGGGAGACAACGGACGGCCATTCCGAGGGTAGCCAAGTGGTACTGGACGAGGAGGAGATGGAGACCTGTAGACGCTGGCTGCCGCACACGGCTCCCGGAAGTGGTTCACTCTGGCGTAATTGGGGTCCATTTCATCATCGTCCATATCGTGGATGGAACCACCTGCAGCGGTCGTGTAATCGACGAGCCCTCTGGCCTGCTTTTCTCTTAGCTCCTGATGTTTTGCTCCGATCCTGAAAATGTGAAACAGGGAGCAGAGATAACCAGTGAGATTGGTTATGCTAATAGACGGTAATATTCTCCTGGATAGAGGCTGATACTCCCCAGTCAGTTTCTTAGCTGTCACATGCCTGTTTACGCCCGCTCACATCATGCGGAAACAGCAGTGCCTGAGACCGGGGATTCGTTTGAGATCTTTGCCCTTTGTTAGAGAGCCTTTAGCTTTATAGCCAAGCGGAGGGATTGTGACATCTTGCCCACTGATGCCTGAGTGATTGCAGTGATAGAGGCGGATTTTCATTCTCGACGAATGGGGGTGTGTTTCTGTGGACAGCACATCTGTGGTGTGAGTTTAAGAAAGTCTTTTGTGAGGCAGGGATCTACGTAAAAGACCCCATGGGAATTTTACAGTGCCCCCCCCCCACCACCACCACGATTTCCCTCTTTGGTGTCCTTGAGGATCCTACGTGATCTTCTAAAGAAAAGAGCTTGCAAAAATGGATTTAAATATAAAAAGAAGTAACAGAGGCTTCCTAGTGACCAAAAGCAGTAGTATCGGTGGTAATTTATCCGAGACTGTGGAGGGGCTTTGTTTTTTTGGTTACACAAATGGGGATCACTGTGTCTCATGACATAGGGCCTATGGGCAGAGTAGAAGAGTGAAGAAATTAATAGGCTCCTGACAGAGATGAATTGGCACATATAAGTGAATTAAACACCATTATTGGCAGAATGCCACCGCACTGGAGCCTTAAGTGATATTACAAAATGCTGCCGCGAATCAGTGCCAGTGTAGAAACGCCTGGGCACGGGAGTAGAGAAATATATGGAGGTGGATTCGAAATCCATCTGCATTCTGAGAAATTGACATTTATTCTAGAAAGTGTTAGATCCGCTTTTCTAAATTCCCAGTCACGTGTGCAAATGTAAAGGTCAGTGTGGCAGGGACGAGGCAATGGTGTCTCGATGACAGTGTGGGGTGTTGCTCAGCACTGATGAGGAAAGAGGATGCCCTGGCATCACCAGGCAACCCAGGGGCACTGGGCATGGAACAGAGAAGATGAAGCTGGCTCAGGTGGCACAGATGGGGCAAAGCTGAAGTCTTAAGCTCAGGGAATGTGAGCAGGCTTTGCACTTGAAACAAAAAAATCTAGCCCAGAGACAGCGATAGAGCACCTGGATATGAAATTTAATAAACAAAATTCAACTTCCTACATATCTACTTTCCCTTTAATGAAAAAATTTTCTTTCTTTCTTCTTTTTTCTCCAAATGGCAGGTAGGTTTATTTTACAAAACATCAAACATTTGTAAAAGTCTTTTAGAAGCCATGATCTTTCAAGGCGTTTTCTCTTTTGGCAGAACAGCAATTTTTCCCTTTTATTTCTCTCTCTTATTTCCCCTTTCCTCTTTTGGATTAGAGAGGAGGAGAAAAATGAGGGTGTAGAACAAAACCAAAAACATCATCATCTATCTTCAAGGCACTACAGATGAACGAAATGCCAAGATACATGATTGCATTTCTCCTTTGACGAGGCCAAACCACGTACCCTACACATTCGTAATTAGAAGAATTTATATTTTGCAAAAGGCAGCTTGAATCTCCAAGGGATTTTGAATTAAGATGAAAGGAAGATTACACAGTAGGGCACCCATTAAGGGGCCCTGCCTGTCCCCTTTCCATGCGTGTTAGACCTAGATTCATGGATGTTTGTTTTGAATAATTTTTGATAAAGACGATAACCTGCCTCCTTCGGCAACAAAGCCATCTTTCCAGGGACAGTGCCAGCTCTATTATCTGAGAAGGCTTGCTGTACTGTGATTTCCATTGCAGACAGAGCTAAGGACATCAGTAAAGTGAGGGATGGGAGGCTGTGTGGTCGTTATCCCTCATAGAGTGGGATGCCTTCCAGAAAATCATTCAGCGGAAAGATGAATATCTCATGGCTGCCCCATAGGGCTACACTTGTGTATTAATGGCAGAGGAAAACACCAAGCTTGATTTTTAAAAGTCGCAGGCATAGAACACTGGGGTCTTTATTCCACCCCTTCTTTGTTCCTCGAGGTGGGCTCATTAATTAAGCTCGCTATGGATGCAGAGCTGCTTGGATGAAAAGTGCTCTGTGAACGCAGAGCGCTGTTTTTCCTTCCTAAAAGAAAACCAAATCCCTCCTTGATCCTCTCTACACCACTAGGTGCTACAGTAGCTGATTTCATATTAATCACTCAGTAGGTGCAACAGGAATCTCTCTGAACCATTACTAGTCTGCCATAGTCCAAGGTTTCTCCCTGTCAGGGAGGACCAGGGAATCTCTGCAAAGGGATGTAAAGCAGGCAAAAGAAACGCAGAGATTGGAAACAGATTTGGGGGCGGTTACTCTCACTCCCCCTCCTCAAAATTCATATAAGACTCCTAATTTTAAAATCATTTCTCCTTAAAAGTCCCCTCACACCATTTGGAACTCAGCCTGATAACATATCTTTTTCCAATTAAGATCAATGTGGTAGTTAGATAATTTCATATCAACTTGCAGATATATAAAAGTATAGGGATGGAGTTCAGCCTGACATCAAGCCACAGATTAAAGATGCCTCCTTGGGCGTGTGGCCTTCTCATAAGGTGGATCCTGGGAACCTTCCTCCCTCTGCCTTCCCTCCTGCTGCTAGCTAACCCTGATGGTGACCAGAACCCTGGAGATGTGTCCACTGCCTTTGGATCCACAAGAGTTTGTACCTACCAGCCTGTGATATTCCCGTGATACTCGGCATCAGTGCTTGTGGCTGCCTGGGTCTGAAGAGGGGCTTATGGACTAGTGTTGGACTTAAGGACTTCAGATGGACTGGGCTGGGATGTGTTCCTGATATAAAAAAGCTTGATAAAAAGGTCTTTCTTACACATACATGAGTGTCGCTGGATTTGTTTCTCCAGCACAATAAACAAAAATCAGCTTGTTGTCATTGGCTCAATTCTGACTCGCAGGAACCCCTGGGTTACAGAGCAGAATGGTGCCGGGTGGTTTTCTTAGATGTAATCTTCACGAACACAAGTCTCCAGCTTTTTTCCTGTGGCAACATTGGGTGGGTGCCAACTGTTAAGTTATCAGTTTATCATAAACTAATAGCCTTTGAGATCTTCTTCTTTTAAAGACTTTATTTAGCACAGATCAAACTTTCATGTGGCCATCTATTTGTTTTCTTCATTGTGCAGCCTAGCATTGGGACTGGTGACTGATGACCAGCGGGGTTGCTCTTTCCACGAGCAGCTTGGGAGTGGGTTCTTGGTTTTATTTCTGAGACAGGATTAGTACAGGGTGTATCTTAAACCAATCCCTTTTGAGTTATAAAGACATTAAGCGAGGAGGAAAAGCAAAGAAGGGGAGAGATTGAAAACAGCCGCCCGGTGTCACCGAGGAAAGAGGAAAAATAAGCTGGAGAGACAAGGCCTGTGACCAAGAGAGAAAGCCTCCCCTAGATTGGGCCCCTTGAATTTGGGCTTCCAGCCCCCTCAGCTGTAAAAAACAAACAAACAAACAAACAAAAAACTAATTTATGATGGTTTTAAATCCAAGAAAATAAAAATAAATGAAAGGAGAGCCTCCAGAAGAAGAGGCAGCAGACTCTGCTTTGAACAGGACGGTCTGAGGGGGAGGGGGGCTCCAGGGGAATGGCTTGGTAAGGCTCGGAGCTGACTCGATGGCAGGGAGCTTGGCTTGTATGAGCCCTACTGAAAAATGACTCAATGGCCAGGAACTGCACTACAAACAATGACATCAACCTAGTGCAGTGGTGACATGCAAGATCCAGAAGACTGCACCGTGTTCATTTGAACATGTCAACAGGGCCAGGCATCTTTGGATGAAAATCAAGAACACAGACATAGTATCAGATCTATGTTAAGGAAATTAGTAAAGAAACACAGAAGCCAATAAGAAGGAATTAAGTTAGGAGAAAGTTAGGTTTATCACCCAATAGTATTTGTTCCCCTTATATTTCAAAGAAGGCATCAGTAGGTAGAGTTGAAAGTTCGTAAATCAAAGAGCCTAAGTTTGAGTAAGCTAGCTGTAATTATAAAAAGCCACTAAAGAAAGCAAACTATTAGCAGGGGAGAAATATATCAAAATCAAACCGAAACTCAGGCCACGGAGTAGAGAGTAGAAAACACAGCAAGCAATAAAACAGAGAATAACATCACATAAAATGAGCACCTTTTCTTCTGTTATGACAATAAATGCAAATGGAACAAATTCCTCCATTATATGAAGGTAAGTATGGAAATATGGATCCCGAGGTTGCAGTTCACACACGCACGGCTCCACGGTCAATGGACACGTTGCAGACAAGTTCTTTTAGGGAGCCGTGCAAAGAAGACCAGTCACAGTGTTAGGTTTGGAGGGAAGATGCAGGGGCAAAGAAATTCAAGGCAAAGAAGATGGTTCAGAAGGTCGTGGCACTGAGTTTTAGGATACCAAAGGAGTAAGTCACGAGAGGCTTTCTTAAAGGACACGGGGCGATCATAAGGGTTTCTTAGGGGAAATAAAAAACAAGAAAACCGAAAACTGCATTGGTGAGAAAAAAGACAGCAGGTTACCGTGAGCATGCCTCCCTCTCCCTCTCAGGGCAATGCACTGGGTTGCCTTAGACAGATCTTGTTGGGAAACCTTTTCCCATTCACCCTCCAGCCTTCATCTTGCCCCTTCAGACTTCTTTTTATTCTCCCCACTCAAAGAACGCTGTAAAGGAAAACAACTTGAATATTGCAAGGGTGTTAAAACTGCTGTTTCTAGCTGGTGTAGCCCAGAGACTGTGGAACTCTTCCAGGAAAGGTTAGCCAAGCACCAGACCTCACTGCTGCCCAGTCGATGGTGAATCACAGCAACCCCACAGGACAGGGCAGAGAGACGGAAACCCCATCTTCAGAAGCGGATAGGCCTAGATGGAGGAGATGCTGAGAAACACTAGCTTAGCATTCTGATCTTTTCTATTTAATAAAGGCTTCAGTGATTGTATAGCAACAAT